CGGGTAAGTTACCCGGACAGTAGTTTCCGCTTCATAGCTCGGTGCTCTGAAAATCTGTGTCCTTCCTTGTTTGTTCATCTATTGGAGGCTCTACTACCCTAATATTGTAGCACAATGATTAGCAGCACCTTGTTGTACAGTGCTGGACATAATTATAGGGACACTCTAGAAATCGTCGTAATTTTCATTCTTGTCAGTGAATCTGTCTGAAACTTTGCTGGTGCGCATGTAAGCCTACCATAACTTCTCAGAACGGCTTCCAATCCCGTTGATTTCGAACGGAGAAAAATGGAAAAATTCGAAAACGCTTGTTTTGCAGGCTGGACATAATTATAAGGACACCTGGCCTTTTTAAGCATTATCGCATTCCTTGAACTTCCAAATTTTTTTGTAGAGTTACATCCCAGAATATGAAACTTTTGCAGCACCTAGGACCTGTCATGCTACTCAAGGAAAGATGATCCTTGCATTTTTCGTTTCCAAAGGCAAAGTCAAACTGCTTTAGTATATAACTGGTTTGAAGAGTTTTCAAGCCCTTGTTTATTTCAAATGATAATCATGGTGTCTACTGATCCTTCTGGATAGATGAGGTGAAGAGCGCTTTCGTAAACTCTGCGTAATCGCTGATTTTGACGGACAGACTTCAACCTCATCATAGGGTTGTCGTGCTTTTGCACCACAAAACTCGATTTTCAAGTTACAGAAAACGCTGCAATGTAGCCGCAACAATACACGTACAACAATAGACTTGTGTGCCTAGTCAGGAAAAAATTTCGGGGTTGCACATTCTGGTTCAGCCGCAGTTGTCATCCGTTGAGAGTTGAGTCACCCTGCACAATCATATCCAACTCAAATCAAGAAATCGAACAGGAGACCGCTTGAAACTTCAAAATCTTGCTAATCTCAGCTACCGCGCAAAATGCGGCATGAAACAGAGAATAAAATAGTGAGATTTGTGATTATGTTGAATCTACTGCTCGCATAGAATTTTCGTTGAAAGTATTTCAGATCTAAATGGCAACTGCAGCACTAGAAAAAATCTAAAAGTTGTTGCAGAAGATGCATCTCCACGTAGACAATGTAATGAATCGAGTCATCTTTTCACGACCATTGGAAAGTGAGTTTTGTGGCGCAAAAGCGCGACAACCCTATGGTGAGGTTGAAGTCTGTCTGTCAAAATCAGCGATTGCGCAGAGTTTACGAAAGCGCTCTTCACCTCATCTATCCAGAAGGATCAGTAGACTCCATGATTATCATTTGAAATGAACAAGGGCTTGAAAACTCTTCAAACCAGTTGTTTACTGAAGCAGTTTGACTTCTGATGCCTTTGGAAACGAAAAATGCAAGGATCATCTTTCCTTGAGTAGCATGACAGGTCCTAGGTGCTGCAAAAGTTTCATATTCTGGGATGTAACTCTACAAAAAAATTTGGGAGTCAAGGAATGCGATAACGCTTAAAAAGGCCAGGTGTCCTTACAATTATGTCCAGCTTGCAAAACAGGCTTTTTCGATTTTTTCCATTTTTCTCCGTTCGAAATCAACGGGATTGAAAGCCGTTCTGAGGATTTATGGTAGGCTTACATGCGCATCATACAGCAAAGTTTCAGACAGATTCACTGACAAGAATGAAAATTACGACGATTTTTAGAGTGTCCCTATAATTATGTCCAGCACTGTATAAGCTGAGATGATTCGTTATTTGTATGATCCCGAACGGAATCTCCCACTGATCACGCTCATTTTCAAAGTTATTTATTTCCGCAAAAACTCAATGAAAACGTCACAGAGTTTTGCTGTACATTTATTACGACAGTGCTACGCATGTTTGTGAAAGAAATAAGTGAGAAATCAAGTTGACAAAATCTTCGCTGAATTTGTGCTCGCGAATTGGGCTCTATCGAAAAACTCAAAACTTGCACATTTCATCTGTGCTACTAAAAACATGCCTAGCATGTCGTAATAGGTCGACAGCAAAACTCTGTGACGTCTTCATTGAGTTTTTGCGGATATAAATAACTTTGAAAAAAAGCGTGATCAGTGGGAGATCCCGTTCGGGATCATACAAATAACGAATTATCTCAGCTTATACAGCAAAGTGCTGCTAGTCATTGTGCTACAATATTAGGTTAGTAGAGCCACCAATAGATGAACAAACAAGGAAGAACATAAATTCCCAGAGCACCGAGCTATGAAGCGGAAACTACCTGTCCGGGTAACTTACCCGGACGGGCGATTGTTGCATACCGCCGCAGGTCTCCCCCTACCTATGAGCACTGTAGAGGAGTACCAACTGGTGGCAACTGACCTAGTGGTAAGTGACGCGCTTGATAAAGAGAGTGTCAAGGTTTTAATCCCCTTCGCATGCTAAATTCAACTTTTAAATGGCTATAGAGCCTTAAAGCATGAAACTTCTGATGATATTGATACTAATCGAAGTTAGAAGTGTCAAAAAAAGCAAGGTAATATGAGTATTATAATCTAGTCACCAGTGCCTGTGTGATATAATTATAAGTGCTTTGAATTCACAAGTGAACGATGAAATTCGATCCCCGTTGGTCTAAGAAAACTTTGCTTCCCCTCAGATTCAAACTTCACCTGATTCATTCATTGAGCGGAAAAGCCACTGCAACTGATCAAGTTCCACCAGTGAAGGATTTAGATGTCAACTTCACAAGTCTCCTTTCCTTGTAAGGGGGGGGGGGGGGGGAGCGGAAGGGATATTATATACTTTTATATATATTTACTTTTTGCATCTTTTTTTGATAAAACGTAGCTTTTCTTAACATAGAGGAAAAACGTTCTTGGCTGTAAAACAACGTGGGTAATTTCTACCATAAGTCCGTTCTCTTTTCGCGTTTGCACCTTTTCAAGTATTTTATAGCAGAACTTGTCAGTGTGGAATACAGCCAAGATATCTCTATTTTTTGTCTAGCAAAGAATGAGGTAAATTCGTGTAGATAGGAGAATTTACGAGTCTTCAAAAGATAGAGAGCTTTTCTGCCAACTTCGTACAGAAGTCTCTATTTACTTTATAACTTTCAAGGTCTTCAAGTAAGCAAAAAGAAATTAACCAAACCTCAGATTCTGATGGCGATCAGCTGATTGTTAATGTAGATCTAATACTGCAAATGGGCACAGCTCAAGTGCACAATAGGAAATGCGGCATGACAATCTGGACAAAAATTCAGTGTACTTTACAACACAAAAAAACTCATATTAGCTTGGTATTCCACTATGCGCCAGTAATCTTTCACTAACGAACTGATTGAGTTCAGCAAAAAAATATGCTCAGCTAAGATGGCGCCATCCATAGCGGTTATTGAAATAATGAATTATCAACTACGAACAACAACAGCCAACTAGGAATCAAGTTCATAAACGTAAAAGTGGAGGACGAGTGGAGTGGCGGTACGAAACGTATTATGACCAGTTCGGACCCGGGTTCGCCTTTGCGCCAACCAAGCCCCCTACCCTTCGGGCCTTTAAATTGATATCTGATTGATCTGAGAGGATAAAATCACGGGCTTGATAATCGGCTGGCCCCGCAAGTCACTGTGATAGGCCCGCACGCATTCATAGCGCACGAAGCAGCGCTCCTTATTAGTTGTAAACAAAACGTTTAGTAGCAGACTTTACTGTTTACTATTGGGTGTTCATGATCTGGTTTACAGATGGATACAAGAATTGCGGCTTTTCTTTTAACCATAGAAATGTATCGCTTTTGCATGCTTTCACCAACTCTTCAAAGGTCAAATCCTCATATCTGTTTTTTTTTTATGTTCATTGAGCATGGATGGCAATAAGTGTGTACATAGGACTGTAACTATTTAGGTAACCTAAATAGTTCTAGTCCTATGTACACACTTATTCAGGATCTGTGTCTATAGAGAGCATAGGCAATGCGAACAAACGGAATAGTACAAAAAATTTATATGGCTACTTTTCATACCATTATGACGTCATTAGTATTAGGTCTTACTGAAACTTCGTTCGCATCAAAATTCGTCCAAAAATAGTGATTCTTCCTGCCACGATAGTCCTTCACGACGAAAATACTATTAGAGAGTAAGCATGTATTCTCTAACGATGCTTTGATTTGAGGCAAGCATGTTAAGGATTGAAAGCTGTGCAATAGAATGAAAAACAGCAGTGTCATAAATTTTTTGACCTGCTCTTTCTAATTTGCAAAGTATACCCTGCGAGCTCTTCTTGGAAAATTTATTAAAAAAATGCCAAAAAATTAGTCTCTCAGGAAATTTGGACGGTTTTCTCTTGTCAAAAATCATGACTTTAGAAAAGCTTGTTCATCACAATTGCCCAGTTAGAAAGTGAAGGTGAAAAAAGTTATAATGACTTTATCGATTTTGTGCACACTTTCAAGAGTTTGACGACTCTTTCTGATAGTTTTTTTTGCCTTATCACACTATTGCGACGGAAAAAAGTTACGTTTTTTTTTATAATGCGAACGAACTTTCGATACAACATAATATGATCACAAGACATTCTACGCTGCAGTAGCGCACAAATGGTCATTCACGTGCCCTGACGCACTTCAACACAAACGCGGATTATTGACCGGTGCAACTCTTCTATTTCATTTTATTTCACTATCTATGATCGAAATTTACCGGTATAAGAGTGCCTGGAGAATGCGTCACTTCAGATGTTGTTCTTCTGCATTCTCGTTGTAAGTGATGAACGTGTATTATTTTACGTGGAAGAGTAATTAACAGAATGATATATTCAGCTCTTGCCACACTTTTGCCACACCAGTTATGGCGGCGTCCGTTGTGATGAAAACCTGGATCAAGACCAGCTTAAGCAAGGATTCGGAAATTTTTGCAAGACGTACCACATGGACAATATAGAACTGGCAAGTCCAACTGTTACGGATTCAGATCTTACAAAAGATCTACACAAACGATAGCTTAAGGAACACTCGACTCGCTAATATTTGTTTGTCCTCGAGAGAGCAATTTTTTTAGAGATATGATCAAAGGATGTGTTATTTTGTCGAGCAAGGTACGGGTGGCAGCTACCCCAATAACAAGGAAAAAGGATATGTTTTCCATGCTACCTATTATAAAGGGTAGGTCGCAGTAGCAAGCATTTTGCTTTAGATTCTCTCCATGGGCCGATGTCTTTTAGCAACTTAGGCACCAATCACTTCGACAGTGCAGTAAATCTCGCTAAATATATCACTACTGGACCGGACGGTTTGCGCCGTTTTGTTAAGGACGGTTCAAACGATTATCTCAGAACATGCCAGGTAAGACAACCAAAGATAGCTCATGATGCGGGATCCCGTTACTTAGTGTTGTCATGCGTGTGAATATCTTGCCGTGCAGCAAACTCTTTTGATTGGTGGACTCATGGGTACGCTAGCACCGACAAATGCATATGAATGACGCTTACGTTCACAGACTAAGTGACGTCATGCACAAACCAGTGGCGTACCGAGGGGCTCAGATAATGCAAATTTTGAGCAAGCGGGCACCAGAAAAATAGTTCGCTGGTTTCCTGCGATCCGCTCGTAGAAATTTGAAATAATTTTGGCCAATTTTTAGATGAACGCTCGGAGAACTATCGCGGTTTTTTTGTAGATAAGTTGCGGCGCAGTGGCCGCATTCTCGCAGTCTTTCCGCGAGAATATGCAAAAGTGTTGTGGGCCGCACGGTCCTTTGTGAAGGACCGCACTGCCCGGGTACCTTCCGCTGGAAGAAGGTACCCCAATTTTGGGTGATAAAACCATCGATGGCCCATGCCACATAGAGTCTCACCTTTTCTCTGCGTACGCCCGAAACTGCCTAAAAAGAGTCCGAGCGCTTGCTGAAAGTTTGGCCAGCGCTTGCAAGAAATTATTTGCCGAGCGCTTGCAAAAAATGCTGTATTGCTACCCGTTGGCAGAATATGCGACCATAAAGGAAGTGCCGCCCGCTTAAGGTTTGGGGCTGACCGCATGCAGAAGAGCACCATTTTACGGAGCGCCTGCCCCCGGCGATTATCTCCGCCCGAGAAGGAGTTGCGAAGTTTGTGATTACTTACACGAGTTATAAGAATGTGCAAGTGACATGTTTGAACTTGTGAATTATTAATAAATAATAACTTGTAAATTATTAACTTGTAAATTAATTTATTGAAATAATTTTAGAAATATTTTGGAAATAGTTTAGTCCTATGAATTCTGGGGTGCATACCAAATTGTTTTTGGGAATATGCAAGGCTGAATCGAATTTTTTGGATTTCCAAAAATCATTTTGATCATATTCATTTGGAAGCAAATTTATAATTTAAGCCACTTCTCAGACAATCGCTGGGAGCAGGCGGGCACCGGAAAAATAGATTGCTGATTTCTCGCACCCCGCTCGCGGATTTTTTGCAAAGCAATCAAGACTTTTCGGAAGGCCGCTTGCTGAGTCAGCGGATTTTTGAGAGACCGCCTGTTGAATTTTTTTCGCTCTTATCTTTTGCAGATATATTGCTGAATCTCTGAGGAATCGAGAACTCAGCAAGAGGTCTTCCGAAAAGTCCTGATTGCTTTCCAAAAAATCCGCGAGCGGGGTGCGAGAGATCAGCAATCTATTTTTCCGGTGCCCGCCTGCCCCCGGCGATTGTCTGAGTTGCTAAAATTATGCGACCCATTCTCGGGTTGAGTGGGCCCTCCCCTTTGGCCTGCCACTGTATTCGCGAAATCTCACCATAAAAAATCATTCTCCCGTCATCTCCACCTGTAAAGTTTGTGGTATTTTTCCATGGCTAAGTAGGGGAAATAAAAATAGATCAAAAGTGCGAATATGCGTTTTTCAGGTTTTTTGCAAACAATTTGATTTTTCTAGAACTAAGGTTGTCTACAGCTGAAAATTCATGGTTATACTCCTAAAGTCATACTACAGAATCACCCATGTAAGAGAAGCTCAGGATTGCGAAAATGCGCATACGAGTTTCTCTTACAGTGAGTCTGCGTGAGCAAGTTAAGGGTTACCAAGACCTTTCTGAACGGAGATACGATTTTTTTCGTTTTTCTAGACCTTTAGTGCCTTATGAAACTTGGCTCCAAACTTCTCGCAAGTTAAACATGGCTCGGAGTTTCCAGCTTAGTTTTATAGAGCTTGCTCAGATTTATCGGTTAATACCCCACTTACTTATTTTTGTGCGCACCCTGCTGCGATATTGCATGTTGAAACACGATGCAACATTATTTTCCGGACAACCTAATACATGCCAGTAGCTCTAACAATGCGACTTACCTTAGAAAATCATTTGTCCAATTATCAATTGCTGTAAAACAGTATTTACCGTCGTCTTATGGAAACTACTGCAGAAATGACATTGCAGATGTTTGCAGACAATCCGAAATTCTTCTGCAGGCATTACGTAATAAGAGGAATTTTCTCCAGCGACGATCAACTCTTCTGCGGCTTCTTCCCCAACAGTAAGTTTCTTTCCTCTTATCCGTTTGGTTTTCATAGAGACATGGGTTGGGCCAGACTTCGCTGGGAAAATGCCGTATGCAGCGCACGCTGCGTATGCTCCTATGATGAAGTACACGGAGCGTACGCCTCTTTCCCAGCGAACTCTAATTCAACCCTATTGAAGCAGGGTAGAAAATTTCGCTGTGTATAAATGAGTTGTGTATGAATCAGACAAGCCTATAAATAGCTCCTAATGCGGGACTTTACTTAAAGGCACCGTCCACCCAGATTCTCGACTTCCAAGTTTTTCTCGTTTCATGGCCTTCTTATGTCCTTGATTCCAAATATGAAGTCGAGAATCCGCGAAAATCCCGACAATTCCCATTCCGAAGTGCCCACAGGCCGGCTTTTCAGAACGGTGATTGGACGAGCACGCACAAATGGGCGGGCATGAATGGGGAGGGGCGGGCATGCTCACACAATCGCCGGGGGCAGGCGGGCACCGTAAAATACGCGTTGCTGGAATTTCGCATCCCGCTCGCAAATTCCAGGAAAATAGTCAGCGAGTTTTTGAGAGACCGCCTGTTCAATCTTTTTTCGCTCTCATCTTTTGCAGATATATTGCTGAATCTCTGAGGAATCGCGAATTCAGCAAGCGACGTTCCGAAAAGTCCTGATTGCCTCTCAAAAAATCCGCGAGCGGGATGCGAGAAATCAGCCATCTATTTTTCCGGTGCCCGCCTGCCCCCGGCGATTGTCTGAGTGGATGGGGGTCCTCGTGCATCTTCGCTATTCCGAAGCGATTTTCTCGTTTCCGAAGCTGCATATTGCGCCGTGACTTGAGCATTGGCTTGATAGGAGACCCTACTGTTATATGCTACCAGAAGCTCAACACCCTCAACTTGGGGTGGACGGTGCCTTTAGTGTTGTCATGCATGTGAAAATTTTGCATGCATTCAACTTGCTTGGCTACGTTAAGGCGGAGCTTTGTGACTTAATTAAGGCCGCTTATGTCCGCGACCTACCTGCGTCTCTTTCGCGCGAGTGCTCTCTGATCATGACCTAGCCTTAAATTACCACACTAACCTCGCCTTCCCGAAGCCAAGCCAGTTGAATAGAATGGTGGTTTATATACTTAGGACCGAATCGGGTGATTATTTCATCATTTGAATAAATCATTCGATTGATTCGAAAAGTCGAATATTCGAAAATCTGAGATTTCGAATGAAATTCGAAAGTCAAATATTCGAAATTTTCTATTTTCGAATATATTCAATATTTGAATATTCGAAAATCTCAACTTTCGAATATTATTCGAAAGTCGAATTCGAAAACCTCAACTTTCGAATATTATTCGAAAGTCGTATTCGATGGTCATCAATTCGATCATTCGGTGGTCAGCGGATATTCGAATTATCCGATGAGCATCGAATATTCGAATATTCGATGACCGTCGAATGATGGAACTCCATAAGCATAGCACGTCATTGTATCACTGTAGGAGTTTCTATTAAACTACCCTCAGGAAGTGTATATTTCTGTGGTCCTGGCGCAGTAGTTTGTGAAGTAATGATGCGCAGTAAGTAGGTGCTACCGAGTTTTCGCTTATCAGGGACGTCAGGATTTCGATGGGTTTCTTTAACAGCGTCTATCACTTTCTTCATGAGCGTCATTGAGTAAATTCTAAAACTTAAACTTAGACTTTGAACTTTTAGTCCACCGTAGCACAACTTTGTGACCCCAAAGTAAAAAGTGAAAAATGAGTAACATATACGTGGTCAGCGCACCGAATAACCTTGTGGAACAAGGTTTTGAGATTTCAAAATTCTGTAGATACCGGCCAATCCAAATCCAATCCAAAAGGCGCTCTGAGGACCCTGACATCAGTCTTGCTACCACCCGGCGCCGTAGGCGGGGGTGATGATCCGATGTGTAGGATTTCTTTCTATTCTTCTAACTGGTAGAGTAATGGAATTTTTCCCCTACAAGAGCAGGCTTACTAGGCGAACTCTTGATTTCCACGGGGCGATCGCTGACCCCGGGCTTAGAGCGGGGAGAATCGCCTAGCGACCTGAAAACCAGACGGCGGTGGATCTGGCCTGGCTTTTGGATTTGACAAAAACGACACGTCTGCCCGAACGACACGCCACGGAGACTGCCTCATGCTCTGCACCTACAACGCCAGGACAGTCTTCACAAACGCCGACCTCCACGCTCTTCTCGACGCTGCAGAGCACATCAAGTACCACATCATCGCTCTGCAGGAAACGAAGTTTAGGAAGAAGGACGTGCGACAGATGAATGATGGGACGCTCATCATTCCTGGTGAGAAGGTTTTATCACGAAACGTGGGAGGCGTTGGCTTTGTCGTCCACCCATCTATCGTCCATCTTGTCGATTCGCACGAGATCCTATCACCCCGACTAGCCATCCTACGACTACACCCTCCACGTTAGAAGGCCATCAGCATCATCAACTGCTACTCTCCAACATCCAGCTGACGACTCAGAACTAGATGCTTTCTACGAAGACGTGGAGGAGGTCGTCCGCAACGAAAAGTCCTTCTACAAGTATGTTGTGGGCGATTTCAATGCGAATCGGGATGCCACTAACAAAGGAATATAGGATCGGGAAGTTTGGATATGGGCTCCGGAACGAAAACGGCAACCGTCTCGTTGGGCATCTCTCCGCCGCACGAATTTTCCATGGAAATCCCATCTTCATGAAAAATGAACATCGCCGGTGGACATGGGAATCGCCCAACGGAACGACTCATGCGGAGATCGATTACATTCTCACCAACCGAAGGTGGAGCTTGCTCGATGTCTCAGTAGTTCCATCATTCTGCAGTGGCTCCGGTCACCGCCTCCAAGATACGACTCAGCCAAAGGCTGGAAAAGAAAGTCTGTCACAGTGCCGCGAGAAGGAAGGAAGTCGTCTATGACGGTAACAGGCTGGAAGAGCTCATATCAAGATGTGACTGGCCCATCGAGGAG